TATGAAGAACACTTTGTTCTATAGTAGTGGACTTGAATACTAATGTATTAAAACATTTTCCAAGATCAAAGTTAGTCTTGTGTTTAATTGGGCAAGCTAACAACTTGGATGTCATCTTCTGAGGAAGAAACAACTGATTTTGTTCTCGGAAGTGCCTGTTTACCTCTCTCTTTGGCCAAGTTTGCCTGTTTTGTGATGAGATGGCTTACCAAAAAACAGAATAAGCAACATGAAAAACATGAGTAGCCTGGTTTGGCTCTGATCCGTTTTGAAGCCAAGAATCTTCTCAAATTCAGATCTTCTTGCAAGGCAGTTCAGATTTTATTTTACTACATTTTATTGATGGGCTAATCTTCTGATCTACTTCTGGAGTCTGCGTAAAGCAGTTTCCTTTCCTCCATACGCCAGTTTTAAGAAGAGTCTCTGCCTGCGTCCTTAGGTTGTATAGGATTCTAGACTTGAAGTGTAGGATGAATAACTGAGTTCATCCGAGTCCGAGAACACTAAACTCTTCCTTGAAAACCTCGGCTGCTAAGATTTTTCATTGTAATGAACAAGTAGTACATACTTCAAGTGTACTTTTTGTTTTTACACAAATTTGCAGCTCTCCTCCAACAAATTCTTGCATAATTTCTTCTCAAATTTAAGCCACGAGCAGGTGCAATTCATGTGTCTGCAGAAAATACTGAGGAAAATACTTGGAAGTCAGATATTCGGAAGTCATCTGGAAATGGATCATCAGTTTTATAAGACCATCAGTTCAGAGAATCATTTCTGTTTCTATTAAATATTTGCTTTGCAGAAGTTCTTTTATTGAAAAATCCCAAGAAATAAGACAAAAAGCTTGTACTTTTAAGGGACTATTCCAGAACTCACTGAAAGAGAAGACTGGATTAATCTACTGTGCTTCAACAAAAAGCATTACCTGACTGCTTGGTGAAGCAGCTCTGAAGACGCGAAAGATTTAGCAGTGTTACCACAAATACACGTTCAAGGTCTGATCCTTCATCTTTTCCCGACTTGTGCATCAATAAGGGATCTGTGACTGCATTACTGAAAGGGACAGAATTTAATATCGCACTTTTTAGTGTACTCATTCTCCATCATTACCTTTCTAAAACTAGTCAGAAGTCTTCACCTGAATGTTATAGTACCAAAACCTGCTTCACTGAAGTTTTCTTTAAAGAGTTTATCTTGAGCTGACGCATGTTTTGCTTACTAGGAGTGAGTGCTGTCTTGCTGTTGTTCTCATCCTGCACCATGCTTCTTGTAGAGCAAAGAGCTTGTGGTACACCACTAATAGCACCCCACAGTTATGTGGCCGCATCTCAAGTTCCTAACTGACAAATATGCAAGAAAATGTGCTCTTCAGTTATCAACTTGCCTGTGCCTGCTGTTTAAAGAACAAAATGATATTCTTTCTCCATTAAAAACCCTGCTGGTCGAAAGGGAGTGTCTTCATTTTCGTTCTGTAGCAACACTCTTTTCCTTGCTTGTTACAAGCAGTTTTAGTTTATGAATGCAAGTTTATTTTTTCTTCACTGTATGGGCCTTTGAAACCATGAGAAACAAAATCATGTCGCAGTGTCATTTTCTGATCGCTCCGTTTTAGTTGCCTTGAAGCACATAATCACTAAATAAACCCACGATGGCAGGTATAGAAAAATACGCTGGTAGTTCTGTTTTTCCGTGAACATCACGTGTGCCTTCACCTTTACATTACAAGAAGTTGAAGCATGAAGGCTATAAATACAAATGAATTTGTCTGGTTGTCACGCTTGATTAAGGGCATTTGATAGCCCAGACGTTTCTCATAGGCTTTACTTGGAGATGTTTAAAATCCTTAAACGTTTTGGACCACAGGCTACTTGAAAGATCATCAGTTACAGTATTTGGCAGCGTGTGCTTACCTGTTACGTTCCTGTTTGGGTGCGTTCTTCGCTGCCCCTCTTTCTTTCCTGTGCCTAATTAGCAGTTACACAGTGTAAAGCTTGGGCCTTTCGGCAAGGAGATCTGTCAGTCCCAGCCTGTTTTAGAATGGCCCTCTGGAACCAGTATTGTTGGCCTCCTGATTTATTTCTCAGGCCCACTCAAAAGGGTTTAGCTTTTCCTTTAGTTTCATTGATGAAGCTGCCAGTGTTGCTGTTCACAATTTTTATTTCCCCGCAAACTTCTGGATCGCCTCTTCTTTCACATTTACGTTTTGGAAAGGATTCTTGATTATGTGTTAAACTGTTTGCAGAAAGGCACAAGGCGAAGTGGAGTTTCACGCTACATTGAAATCCGCTCTCTCAAACCCAGGCCAGCATTCTGCGCTGCTCTGATTTCACCCGAGTTTGTTGGGCACGGTACCACGCGGGGTGCGTTTGCTAAACACCCGCTTGCCCAATCTGGGAAAATTGTTGGTGTCCAGATTGGAAAATGGTACCGGCCTTTCCGAGTGCAGTTCAATTTAGAGTATAATGCTGACTTGAGAATAACGGTGAACATTGGGAAAATCTTAATCTGCTACCCTGGGTGGCTGTAGTATGGTCTGTCTTTCTTGTGCCAAACTTTAATTTTGGACAAGATATCAGCAGAGCAGCACGGGTGCTGAGATTCCAGTGTTGCTCTCAAGTGGGTTACCGTTTGCCACTTTTATCTTGTTTTACCAAGAGATGACCTTACGCTCCTTTTGCAAAAGGAATTTCCTTTTATTTTGACCTGCTTTTGCAGGCAGCTCTGATTTGAAAATTTTAAATACTTGTACATGTGAAACATTTGTTATGCAGATACATTGCCTTGTTTAAAGTTTACTAGCTTCTTTTCTGTTATTTTAGTTCCAGGCTCTCTTCCATGAAGACTGCAAGCTTCAGTGACCATTTTAACTAACTTCAGTGGTGTGTCTGCTGTCTTTTGGTTGTTTTCTTGGTTTTCTTGGTTGTTTAATCTTGTAGAGCGATTTGCTAGTTTCTGTTCCGTGCAAATTGGCAGTAGTGCTCAGCTAGTAACAATTAGATGTTTATGTTATTGGATAACTGACATTTCTTTTTAGTGTAAGTAAACATGTTAGCATTGTTAATCTTTTAATATCTGCAATAAATGTAGAACTAAACAATTTCTGGTTTAAATGTTTTGCTTGTGAATTTGGCCATTTGTAAGAGATATGCATCATTTTGGCACTAACAAGTGGAATTGAGATTATGCGGTGTTACATTAGTGTAAAGCAGGATTTTATAGTGTACGAGGGAAGGAACGTCCCTCTGTTTCCGTGCTGCTAAATGTCTCTGTTGAGGATACCCACTAAATCACTTCTTAGTCACTTTTTCATGTGGCTTCTAGTGCATTAAATCCATACACAACCGTGTTACTTTCCACACGAACGCGAAAACCGTTGTGCCCCAGTCAGAATGCAAGAGTTTTACCCTGTATTCGCATATCCCAGGAATTAGTTGTCTCTCTGATTTTCTTGGTGTACTGGCTTTAAAACAGCGAAACTTTCTCTTTCCATATGTGTGTGGTTTACTGTTGCCTTTAAATTCAAATTCCTTTTTTAGACAGGATAGGAGGGGGAAAATTGCAGCGAACTGAAATTTAACACTTGTGCAGCCGCCTTCTGTCGAGAGGTAAAGTGAGAGCGTTCAGTAGCGAAAGGTGCCAGCCAGGTCTCCCGTCCTTGCCTTTATACTGACAGCTAGGAAAAGCTTTCCAGAGGCAAGTTCGAGCCTGGCCTACACCTTTTTCCTCCTTCAAAAATTTACTATGCGTAAGGACCTGGTTCTAGAAGAAAGGACATTTGCTCTCGTTGGAGAGAAATGAGGAGATCCCCATTTTGGGGGAGGTGCCCTAACAGAGTAAGAGAACTACAGCCAATAGCACACTGTTCGGAGGAATTGTGGTGGACTAAAAGAGATGTTTTCATTTTTTTGCCTTCAAAGCTTTTCTTTGGTGTAATACCAATGACATTTCTCCTATTTATTTTTTGTGGTTTTTTTAGAAGACGCTACAGCATCCTTAGTGTGAACACTTGATCTGTGCTGAGATGTTACTTCTCCAAATCAATGTACAGTATTTTTTTCTATTGATAGTCCGTTCTGCTTTAAAGTTAATCCTGATGTATTGTGCCCAAAGAAAGTCTGGACTCAGAAATTCACATGTTGTTATTTTGGATTGTTTTCTATCCTACAAGCAGGTATATTTTCTAATTAAAAATGAATTCCTGAAAGTCCTGTATCATCTTTAATTCCGCATATCTCATGACTGAGTGGCCAATCACAACCAGACTGTAGATTTGAGCAATAATAAACACCTTAAATGAGAATATGCTCAAAGAACAATAGGGTACTTCTGAAATAAATAGTTTTTGTGAACCTTGTTAAGTAGGTAACTTGCTGAATTGCAGCAAGTGTGGAAAATGTTTGCATTATCTGTGGGCAATAAAGTTCCTGCTGTTTAAGAAAGCGCTAGCACACAGTGTGTTCTCTTCAGCTTTTTGTGCCTAATTCGTGTCATTGGAAGGTTGTGCCAATTTCCTTGGAAATTATTTCCTAGGCAAGACTTTGCTTTGAAGGGGAAGTCGTATTTCGTTATCCTGCCCCTAGGTAATAAAGCAACAGTAAAGCAGTAAATACAAAGCAATCAAATCTAATTTTTAAAACAGCTGCCTCTTTGGCAGAAGCTCGTTACAGACTCCGATTCGCGGGGTTAACAGAAGTTCTATCTTCGAACAGTTTACAAGACCTATTTCAGAAACCAGAACTGTCGTTGGATGGGAAGTAAGATTTTTGAAAAGCAATCTAAAATGAGCGATCATTAGGAGGTCACGCAACACAAACGCGGAAGGAGAATCCGTGAGCTCTGGCTTGATGTGATGCCTTATCAGTTACTGCGTGTTACTTACGGCGGTCGATGGGGGGAAGGTTAGCAGAGGGGGTTCTGCACTCTGCGTACACCGAGCACAGGAAAAATCCATGGTTTATGTTACTGTTCGATCCTGGCAATTAAATCCAAATAATCCAAGGATGCAGATCAGTTCTCTTCCATACGACTATGACATTTACGTGCGTTTCCCTAACTCACAAAAATGAACATAAATACTAAAGATAAGCTGTTTAAGGGTGTAATTTGACATAGAGAAAAGCAAGTTATCGGCAGTAGCTTCCGTACTCTGGTCCCGCCGCGGTGAGACAGCGAGAAGCCAAACGCTAGCGGGCGTTGCTGTGAGGTGATGGGCATGTTCGCGTCCCGATGCGGCCCCCAGCCTCGGGGGGCCGGTACCCCCGTTTCACAGCCGCCGTCCCTGCCGGCACCGCGCGGTCCTGCCCCCGGGAGC